CGACATGTTCTTGTTGCAACCCAGTGGTATGTAGAGATATCTTAATCCCCATTCTTGAGTTGGGTACCCAGTTCCAACCCCAGCTGAATGCAGGGAACCTATTTCTGGTCCTGCACTATATTTGATCCAGAAGTTTCCATATATTCTTTAATAATCTTAAGCAGAGGTTTACTTCTATGAATGGGTGGGGTTGACACTTATCATTATAGAATATTAAAGGAATATCTTCCTCTTCTTTCATGTAGATAATGCTTGAGGTGGTGGTGGAACTTTCAACTCTGGTCTTGAAGGTCGTTGTAGGGGAAGGGAGAGGAACAGGTTAGAGCAGTCAAGAAGCATTTTTTTCTTAAGGTTAATATAAGATTCTCCCTACTAGATGTGAAAATCTATCATACATCTAGAATAATTGAAAGAATGCAGTGCTGAACAAGAATAGCTGGAGAAATAAGGAAATCAGAATCAAGAATCCAGGACTTTTGAGTAAAGAGGCAAATTGAGTGCAAACCTATGACTCGATTCTGATGAAAGATGTGAAAATATATTCTAGAAGCTAACAAAGTCTGACACTCAAATGCCAGAACCATAAAAAGAACATATTGGGTTGACATGAGAAAGGCACCAAGAATTCACTTTCTTTCACTACCCAGAGATGACCATATAGCCTCAGAAGAAGTGAAGAAAAAAATATGTGAATACCTATAATTTGCAGGTGGTTAGAACTGGGAGTGGAGGGAAGGCATGGGCCAAAAAAGCAGTGCTCTGCTCAAAGTATTTTTAGCCACAATGGATCAGTGGAGGTTTGCCAAGAGCTCTGGGGACACAAATGTCTACAGCAAGCTAAAAACAGTGAGAGAGATGCTGCTCAGCAAAGCACAAAAAGGTATTCAGAGAAGGAGATCAGGTAATAGCCGAGGACAGCTGTGCCCAGAGGAATGTCCACTTTACCAAGCATAAGGTTTCTGTCCGAAGCATTAGTGCTCTCCCATGTGCAGGAGAAAGCAGCCACAGAAATGGATGTGGTCATTCAAGCCCCACCTCTAGCATCAGAGCTTGGCCAAACCTGGAGAAGAAGCCACCCAGAGCCAAATTCCACTGCCAAGACCATCCTGGCCTTGGCTTTCTGGCTACTCTCTTTAGGCTTGGAGCACTGAAGTACAGTCAGGCCACCAGCTTCAGTGGAGAGAAAGATCAGAGCAGCTTTCAAGTAATAATAGCAGCAATGCCAAGGGCAGTGGGTAATCCAGCCACATTTCACTAGTGAGAAGAGAATCAGAACAATCTTTCAGGAGAACTATTTGCTTTTTGTGCCAAAAGCCTACAAATTTGATATTTCCTATAACATAACAATTTCATTTCTAACAGTGTATCCTAAAGTAATGTTGAAGATGTGTCCATTGCTGTTTTTCATAGCAACACATTGGAAACAAACTAAAAACCCCAGAATGGGCATTTGGTTCAATAACTTATAGAATAACCACCAAGTAAAATACTATACAGTTACTAAAATAATAGTATGATTTGAAGGGTATTAAATAACATGGGACTATATCTGTGATATATTACTAATAGAAAGCAGCTAATGAAAGAAAAATTATAATATGATCCCATATAAACATATGGGGGAAAGGATCTCAAGTCTGCAAATCAATATTAATAATTGTTATCTGTGGTTCAAGGATAAGTATTTTTTTTCTGAAAGCTTTTTTATATTTTGCATTGTGTTTCTACATTGAGTACATATTGATTTGGTTTTCCATCCTTTTATCCTTTTGTACTACATTATCAGAAAATAGTTCAGCTCAATCTTCTAGCTTACTAACTCATTTTTAACTATATTTATTCCAATATATTCAGCCATCTATTTGAGTTTATTTTATTAATTTAAGTTTTACTTTGATCTTTGGGATTTTTAAATTCAAAAAATTTTAGTAAAACACACATAAAATAAAATTTACCATCTTAACTATTTTGAAGTATATAGTTCAGTAGGATTAAATACATTTGCATTGTTGTAGAACCATCTCCACCATCCATTTTCAGTTTTTTCCATCTTTCAAAACTGAAACTCAATACCTTTTAAACAATACTTCTCATCCTCTGACACTCCAGGCCCTGGCAATCACCATTCTTCTCTCTGTCTATGACTTTGACTACTTTAGATACCTCATATAAGTTGATTCACACAATATTTGTCCTTTTGTGACTATTTTATTTCATAGCATAATATCCTTCAAGTTCATCCATGTTGTAGCATGTGCCAAAATTTCATTACTTTTTAAGGCTGACTAATATTCTATTGTATGTATATCAATATTTTGTTTATCTAATCATCTGTCGATGGACACTGTTACTTCAACCTTTTGGTTATTATGAATAATGAACATGGATATACAAGTATCTCTTCAAGTCTCTGTTTTCTCTTCTTTTGGACATATACTCAGAAGTGGAAATGCTAGATCCCTGGTAGTTCTTACACATGCATTCATGGGTATTTGTGCATGAACATGATTTTTCAAGTTGAAACTCTTGATAAATATATATATATACACACATACACACGTATAATATATATACATACACACACATACACACATATACACACATTACACACACATATACACACACATACACACACTAATGGATGTGAGATGGTTTAGTTTATTTTTAATTATTGACTATTCTCTTGCCTGTTTCCAAGAAGGACCTGTGTCATTTGTTAACATTGTAACATTGAGTATACATTTTTGTGGTAAGCTTGGAGTCTTTATTTCATGGTGCTGACATTCTTCTCAGGTTAGGTGATTCTCAGTGGTACCCCCACAGTGTGCCCTTGTGGATGCCTATTAGACTGTCTAACGCATGAGTGAGCACAGCTTGCAGGGAAAGGACATGTTCTGACATTCGTGTTTTGATCTGGTTTCAGGGATTGGGAAAGAGGCACAGGATGACCAGTAGCTGGTTTCAGACAGTGAAGGAATCTTAACCCTCTTGATACTGCCAACAATTCAGAAGCCTACTCCTGTGTCCCCCAAGATGTCATATTTTCTGCCCCCACCTGAAGATAAACAATCCCATCCCCCATAACCAGTGTCTGGTCCACTGTGGACTGGGGTACAGGAGATGGTAGAGGTTGACCTCTTGCTTTGGTACCCCAACTCACAGACCTGTTAGGTTGAGCCTTAGATCCCCTTCTGCCCCAGTGCAAGGAGGATTCTTGGCACAGCTTTTAATTACTCATCTGCATATGTCTTTGGATGCAGGTTTCCAATCCAATTCCATATTCCTTTTACATCTCATAAATTACTTACAGGTTTTTTTTTAAATTCTTCATTAAGGAATATTTTAAAATAGGTACAAATAGAATAGTATAATGAACTTCCATGTACCCACCACTACTCAGCTTCACCTTATGAATACTCTCATTTCAATGAGTGTCTCCCATTCTCTCTTCCTATATTATTTTGAAGCAAATCCCAGACATTATGTCATTTCATCCACAAATAGTTAAGCTTGTACTGATAAAAAATAAAGATCTTAATAGATCATAGAATGCTAACATCATATTAGCAATAATTATTTAATATCATCAAATACCTAGTCAGCATCAAATTTGCAATTGCCTCACAGATTTCCTATTGTTTTTATAATTTATTTATTTTTTCTAATCATAAGATCATTTTATTCATAAAAGAATCCTGAAATTATCTCTCTTTGCAAGATGATCATTAGTAGAGTAAAGTGGGTAAGGGCACAAGTAAGAATATGGAGGACACAATACATACAAAGCACTAGCACAATCCCTAGTTCATGGTAAATGGTCAGTGCAGCTGAAGTAATTGCTGTTGTTATAGTTTTGGTTATTGTAACCAAGTTTGTTTTACTTTACCCTTACAGTGCAGATACCATAGATTATTTATAGTTTTGAACCATTGAGGAATCTCCTTCTTTTTCAGCGTAGGCAAATATCTGCTTTTTCTGTCCTTATTCTGAACAACTTAAACTCAGGAACCAAGATAACAAACACAGAATTTCCCTGAGAAAATGGAATGTCTATAAGGGAGAGGATAAATGTTGAAAGGCAGAATGTGTTTGGAGAACAAGGGTGAGGTAAAGACGAAAAATCACAAACACTACATATATATATTATGTATATATTACATATATATACATAATATATACATATATATTACATATATATTACATATATACATAATATATATATATACATATACACAAATACTATTTATGTGTATATATGTATATTATATATATTCTATTGTGCTATGGGTACTAACATAAATTTTTATAATATAAGAGTATAGTTTGGACAATTTACAATGTTTTAATTTTCTAAACAAAGCATGACACCAGTAACCCTTGTTTGAATTTACAAATGGATTCCAGCATCTCACAATACTGCCATGTTTTGACAACTTATTATGTTCTAGGCACCATGCTAAGCACCCTGCATACATTGTTTTTCCAAACTTTATAGCAACTCTACAAAGTAGGCCTTGTTTCTACTAGCAAAGGAGGAAACTGAAGGTCAGAAAGGTCTTACCCAGTGTTACTCAGCTATGAAGGGGCTAGAGATGGGATTTAAACCAATGTGAGACTCCAAAGCCAATGCTTTCTCTGCTGTTTCCTCTATTGACATTATAGGCACCGATTTCTTTGATTTCCAAAAGAAATCGGTGGCATTTATCTTCCAAGTGGCATAGTAGGAAGAGAGGGAGCATGATGCTATGAAAATAACATTCGCCTCAAAGAGGAGACAAATGTTCTCATCCTAGGTTGTTACCCAACTTACTGCAAAACCCTTCAACACCTTTGGCTTCTCTCACCCTTCTTTCTCCATGTCTACAACAGAAATAAAAATATATCTTATACAACTGTTCTAGAAATAAAATGGAAAGAGCTATGCCAAAAAGCATAATGTAAACATAAGTGATTGTAATCATATTTAGCCTAACTAACAAGCTAACATTTCCTTTTCTAAGTTTTACAGTTACGACTTCAACAGAGAAGGACCCAGGAACAACTGGCTAACCAAGGAATAATACCGCGTGAGTAGCCGTGTCTCATATTTACTGACACATTACCATGGAACCATGTGATTTGGGAGCTGGAAAGCACCTCAGAGGTCATTTACTCTGAGCCCATGGATCCTCATAGAATCTGTATTAACAGAAATTCCAGACCTTGAATGTTTTGCCCCAAATTCTACTCACACTCAAGGGCTTCCCTTTAATGATACAGGTTGTACTTAAAATTCTGATGTAGTAGGTTTAGTTTTAGTGTAAACGCAATTCACTATGGGCATCCGTCACCCTTTTCTTTTAAAATTGAATATAATCACCGTTCTTTCCAAAAGCATCAATCATGTCATCTTTTTCTCACTTCCTCGGTTTCACTTCTGTTTGAGGTACTCAAGTCCACCATTAATTGAATATTATCACATGCCTCTTTTCTAGATTACTGAGTAGCTATACCATTCTAGCATAATTGGTATAAAATTGAATTACTGGCCATGATTTGGGTCAAAGAAGAAGGATTCTCATATCTTTTAGAAGATATCTTTGAAAGTTTCTACCAATTCAGCAATTAAAGCTAACTCTTGGTAATCCATAGAAATAGCTAAAATGGTTCTCATAGTACAAACTCCTTTAGGTCATATTTTCTAACTACCTCTCCCAACAAAATTGAAAAATTAAGATCCATAATGACTCTTGCAGAAATCCCTATCATGAGTAGGACTTCAGAGTTTAGTGTGAAACAAGTGGAAATTTGCTCTTGATAAAATGGCCTGCAGTTAGTAATATTAGAGCTCCTTGATCCACGGGCTTCAGAGCCAAAGCAGAACTAAGACTTTTTCAGGCCTTTTACTTTGTATTTCAAAAGCACTGTTTTTTGTTTTTGTTTTTGTTTTTGTTTGTTTTTGTTTTTTTTAAATGGCTGAGCCAAACAGTAAAAAAACAGGTGACTTTATAGTGGAACAACTTTTTTAGAGGTTTGCTAAGCACAAAAGAAACAGTTCACCTGGCACCTTAAAAGCTACCTAAACAACATGTACAAAAATGAGAAACCAAAGGAGCAAGACTGTGTGTGGCTTATTCATCTCAGCTAGCCCACCGGTGGAAGTGCTCAAGACAGAGGAGAGACTAAAGGTCTGCAGACTGCGGGTCAGATAAACAGAACTTCACGCAAAGTTGGCCAGACCAGTCTTTTTAGGAATCCTGTCACTAATGTGTAGAATCTAATTTGTTTAACCGTTATCTTGAAGAATCATTCGCTAAGATTGTAAATAGGTACAGATCCACTAGGATCCTTCTGGCAGACCACAATCAACACCAAGCACCCTTAAATATGTGATGAGCCATCAATATGAATAGTATTAAAATAATCTATCCCCTCACTAGTGTTTCTTCTCCTTAGTTCTAGAAAGACAAGTGGTCTGGATAGAATCAGGACCTTTCAGTCAACTCAAACTGTTCACAGTCGATTTAAAGTTCAACCCATATGCTTAAATTTTCTGAGCCTGGGTCTTGCAGCTGGCATTTGAATGAGAATAAACTTTTTATTTTTAGGTTAATTGGATTAAATTTCTGGAGATCAGTAAAAACACCTAATAAAGATAGGAATTAATCCTGTTACATTTTTAAATAACACCTCCATGTAAGTTGTGTGAATCAAATGTTCATTTGTGTAGTAGGGTACAATTGGTGGGGATATATCTTGTTATCCAGGATTTCCAAAATTAAATAATGTACATATTAAATGAAATAATGCTTGACAGATATTTTGTATCCATAGTCCATTGCATTATTAAGATAATCACTGAAACATGTTTTATGAGTAAGGAAATTATTTTCTCTTTTAATTTAGAAAAATGAAAATTTAGCAAAATGATAAAAGTTAATTAAGCATCACCTGTTTTCCTTAGTCTTCAGCCACCTCCTCTCAACCATGCTTTCCAAAGGTATAACTTCTGCTGTGGAAAAATGTCAAAGCCACAGCAGGTGCACACTGCAGGCCCAGACTAGACAAACTTTGACTACATAGCTCTTCTTAGAAAGCTAGACCCAGGAGGAATCTCTTCGCCTGCCGAGAGATCAGGGGCAGGGAAGAGATGGCCAGCCTCTTCAACTTGATTAGAGACTAAACATGCAATCTAATGCAGTGCAGAGCAGCCTGTGTTCACTCAGGAACCTAAGAGTATGTGTGTAAATGCAAATCATGGAGAAAAGGAAAGAGGAGCTAACAGTCCCAAGGTTTTTCAATTCAATCAAATCTAATACATTTCATTATAAACCAGACTTATATGCAGGGTAACGGGCCATATCCTCTAGACACACCAGTGAGCAAGACAGTCATTCAAGGAAACTCAAGATTTTAAGAAAAAAGATGATGAAAAACACACATAAGTGTAATTCAAGGTGGAACTCGTTACATTCCACAAGAGGGCTTTTTATTTCTTCATTCTATTATTTCAATTTTTTGAAACAGAATAAAAGAGGAAAAGGTAGAAGGAAGAGGATAGAATGGAGGCAAGAAAAATTGATAGTCCTTAGAGATCATCTAATTCTGTAATTTTAATTTTTTTAATTGTTAAATATATCTTATATTGTGTATGTATATACTGGCTGAAACAGGGAGGGGGTGCCTCTGCCTTATTTACTCAGGCCCCCTAAGCCCTCTGGACTCCCCCTCATTATCCTTTCCAGAGAGCTAGTTCTCTTCAAAATAGAATTTGAAATCATCTGACCTAGTCCAAGCCTTGTTTTCTTTAATGTTCACAAAACTGAGGTTGAGGAGGCCTAAGAGATTTTTCAAATGTCCCCAAGCCAGGTACCAATGTAGTTCTGCTTTCTGCAAATTTGAATTGTGAGAATTTAAGAACATACACAATAAAATTATTAATAAATATCTAACCTTGTCGATAAAATTTGAAATAATTGCAATCCTCCCCCAAACTTTATAACATCATAAATTGCCTAAAGTGGAAGCTGATGGCCAAGTGAATTGTTAATTGTCTTTATGTTATCATTACATAGCACTACTGCTTTTAGCTGGTCAACAGAAACACCTGCTATCTTTTGGCAGAATTCATCTTGAGTTTGACCTTAGATTGCATCTCAAGGGCTCATCCATTGCAAAAATGCAACTCTCTCCTATTGTGCATTGTGGCAGAGCCAACACCAGAGCCTCTGTCTTCTGATCCCTATACAGGACTCTTTTCTGAAATATTCAAAAGGAATTACTTGAATTTTTAAAGCACTTAAATATCTACCATAAAGCATTTGTGGCCAAAAAATTCAGTTGGAGATAGATGAGAGAGAGAGAGAGAGAAAGAGAGAGATAATAGAATAGAAGAATAGAATAGAATAGAATAGAATAGAATAGAATAGAATAGAATAGAATAGAATAGAATAGAATAGAATAGAAAGAAAAGAAAACAAAAAGAAGAAAAATACCAATGACAAACCAATGTTTTTTGAAATGGCTTTAGATTCTACATCATAATCTACACTTCACTATGACCAAGGTTCAATGAAAAATTCCACTAAAGTCAGCTATATGGCGGATCTCACTTCAGGTGCATGCCAAATTAATGGTTAAATTATAAGGTTTCTCTCCCACTGACTCCAATGAACCAAATTATGTGTAATTGTCAGTTGACTAGTAGAACTAGTCCAAATGAATTGAATTTAATTCCTTCCTTCTTCTTGGTCATGCATACTGCAGGTTTTGAGGCTGCCAATGAGTAACAAAGAGTCCACAGCAACTAGGGACAAATTCTCTTATAATTCTCTTAATCATTTCTCTTAAGCATTTACTCAATTCTCACTTGCATAAATTATGGGTTTAGGATTTCCTATCAGTTGCTTTGAATGAATTTAAAGACATTGTTCCTTGACATTTAGTCAAGAAGGGGAGGGTTCTGAAGCCAGCACCAACCCCCTAGAATAACTTTAAACAGTGGGAAAAGGGTTCTCGGGCCAGGAGCATGGGCCCTGCCAGATCTTAAGATTGCTTTTACATTTATAATATCAGTTGTGGAATTCACACTTCCAAAATAGTCATGAAATCTTAGTGAAATATCTTCTTGAAGTTAACTTAGAAATATTTAAGAATTTATTGTTTGGACTTATCTCCAAAATCTTATCTATGAATCTCAAAACGAAGATTTCGAATTGCCTACTTTGTCATCATCAACTAAAATTCAAAGGAAATGGTTTCACTGCCCCTTCTTTTCAGGTTAAAGGTTACAAGAGGACATCAAGGTTCTCTACTTTCTCATGTCTGTAGGACAGAGCCAACTTCCTCCCTTTGCGGATCTATGGGGCTTGGATCTGTTCATCATTTCTCATGTATATTTTCTCACCTACATTTTTTTTCCTCAGGGTATTACTCTTCTGTGTAGAATTTTAACTGACACCATTTTTCCAACTACTTTAGAAGCCTTAGTGCAGAGGGATGATCAGCCATATGGATTAGATGCAGTAAACAATTAAAGAGCAATTCAGTAAATTTTTGACTATCTGCTGTAAGGAAGGCCCTACAGAGCACAGAGAGTCAGGCATGAATTCTGTTCCAGTCTAGAAGGGGCCCCAAACTATCCCTGTTTCATTGTCTCTGTTAACAATATTGGACCAGGTCACATCACTCCATGGGAGTCAGTATCCGGG